AAATACAGAGAGAGAAAAAATAGTAAAAAATATAAATACACACAGAAATTAGAATGATAGACACAGGATGCACCTGACAAACAGACGGATAAAAGCAACTGTTCGATGCATGAGAAAGGATGCATTACGAGTCCTTCATGCAACAACGATAACAAAAACACTGTTTACATGAAATTTACGCTTGTGGACACCCAGGACGATACACAGCCATATGAAGTAGAGCGATCAGACAGCCAAATGTAACGACGCCTTAACTGCACGCATTAAGATATAATTACATTGCTAAGGCTCGATTGGGTTGGCGGCAAGTACATACGCTATCATTTGAAACACAGCCGAATACATTAATTAATTGTCGAACAGGCCTTCTTCGTAGTTTTTCCCCATTAAAGTGTACAACTTCGGCTAATAAATTTTAGGATGATTCAAATACCGTGTTGTTGAGGATGCTAAACGGAATGATGAAAGATAGATAACAGACAGTCATCGGATGAAAGATATTATAGATCAGTCAAACACTATATTCTTTTATATTCAAAAAATTAATAATAGTAATAACAATTCGAAGGAGAAAAATCATAAATGCATATTGAAAATATTGTGATAACACCGTTCGGAATAGGCTGATATCTCACAGGCATACACGCTCAAAAATAGCCCATAAATCACCGCGCACACGTGAAGAGAAGACATACAAAATACGTTATTCTGGGCGAAGTTCATCTCGCGTTTAAACATTCACTTAAATTTATAGTATCAACGATGTCGAGTATGATCAGCATACACAATCGAGTCCGCCAGAAACGGCAGAGCGCATGATCACTCCGTTTGAATATTTCAACGGACAGTCATCGTGCGACACAAAATAGCTGAAACAACAGCTACAAGTCTACCTAAAGCTAATCCTACAACCATTTTTCTATCACTGATTAGCCTACGATATCGCGTCTTGGTCCGTTTTATATGTAAGCACGTACTGAAAGAACTAAATGCGAAGAAACATCTTAGTAGCGGCAATGATAACATTGAATATATAATAATAATGACGTGACGAAAATGGTAGAGTAATCAGAAAACAATATGACATAACAATGATTTATGATGATAACGCCGCCATTTCTGGTGGTGTCGTACTTTTATACTACATTATTACTACCAGACAATTACTTCGCTCTATATATATATATATATATATATATATATATATATATATATATATATATATATGTTGTTAAGAGACGTCTATTCGAGCTAGTGCTAAGAAGACTCGCGCGAGGAACCCGTTTTGGGCCGCGGCCGGGTCGTGCCACAGTCGTTCGGACTCGCCGGGTCGCTGCTGATTCTTCGTATGAAAAGTGAAAAATAGAAACGAAAATGATGGATTGTTGGAGACTGACGAAAACGGAGAAAACATAGTAGAGAATCACAGCCTTTCCGTCGATTCTTTGAAATGTTTTCCTGTTTTCGAATGAAACCAATGCAACAGCGCATATTTGCATCATCTATGTTTAGTAACGCATTTCTCTTAGTCTAATTTGATTACTACAATTATATAAATAGTATCTTATAAATGATATACAAAATAATAGTACATATATATATAGTGTAAAGATTCAAGCGGTACGAGAAAAATAAGGAACGTAGATAATATACATATATATATATATATATAGAAGATGTGTATATATGTCTCCATTCATGAGATATATATATATATATATATATGTATATGGTAGAACATTCTGGTGACAGAAACAACTACCACCGACCGCCATCACTATGCTATATCAAATTAATAACAGTTATATTATTTAATTTGTATTAGTAATACTTTTTATTAGAATTTAGTATTACAAATGGATATAGAGCATTTGAATGAATGAACTTTTTTGGTTATGTTTTTTTCACTGTTTCTATATATTCTGCCCTCGGTTTGTTGTTCCAAATAAACAATTGAGTATTTTGAATGTTAGCCGTTGGCTTTTTGTTTTTACTATTCTTGGTTTTTACTCATCACAATGTTTAATGCTGTTCAAAACCCGTTCGAGCCTCTTGACCAAAGTTACTGTGGAGTTTTTCGTTGGAGGCTTTACGTATATACCACAGTCAGCTCCGTGCAGTTATAGCAGAACAGCAAGCGATTTCGAAAGCAAAATTAATTATATATATATATATATATATATAATATTTGCCTATTAACCCTAAGTTACCTAATCCCGGTTACCTCTATTCAACTATAACTTGAGCTATATACACTGTTTCGTAGCGTATGTCACTCGCCGTGCAAAAAGTGGACATTTCATCAGTTTAAAAAGTACAGATACAAGTTTATATTTTGATTTTTTCATTTCATTATATAGACAATTTTCACTGCTGCAACAATAGCGACAACAACGTAATATTATTAGGAGAATTTTACGGCGTCAAGTTTTGCCGACAACCATTTTCTGCGTGTGTCTCGCGGCAGTCTATTGGTCTAAGTAAGACCCAAATGACCGTTCTGTATGTTCGTATGAGCGTGTTTGCCTGCCGACCCGCTAACAAAGGGTATACTATTATACATTTATTCAAATACCATTGCTAACGTATTGTTGTTGATGTGAAACGCCGCGTTTCTATAGGACGTGTCGTACTAGAAAGTATTATAGTAATTATAATAATGATCTA